AAGCCCTGGGCCCTCTCGACGCAGCAAATCACCAGCTTCAGGTAGTTAGTGGAAAAGGAATAGATGGTCATAGCAGGAACAGATCATTTTCCTTCTGTTTTCTGTAATTTTTATGAATTAGTAATCTTTGCTGGGGTTGTATGCAGCCAAGTTCCAGAAAAACAGAGATGACATGACTTTTAAAACCAAAAGTTAAGTCTGTTTCCCCAAGTTATAATACTTCTCCTAAGAGACTTGTATAGTTTTGTTCTGACACATTTTCTTGGGAACAGCTTGATGATCTAGATTCTGCTGGTATTTACATAGAAGTGTTTCACATTTGGACCTCTGTATACTGCATTTTGAATTTTGTGCTCTATGATTGTGGATAATTATTTTCTTAACATTATCTCTTTTTTAAAAATCACATGCACACACTCTACCCAGAAATGTATTTACTTGATATATTTCCACTGGCTTCTCCCTCATCAAATGGTACATTCATAGCAGTGATTATTGTTGAAAAGTAGTATTTTACTTATTTAAGAGTCAGACTTACCTGTAATAAAGTTTCTTGCAAGTCTTAAGCCTATAAATTTGTCATAATTTTTACGGGGCATTTTTAAACATTAAAAACATACATAAATATCTTCACGTATTGATTTTATGGGTTTGTTTGTAATAATTAAGAATAAGTCTGTTGATATCATTTCCCCTTAAGGAAAGAATTGTGAAAAAACCATGATTTTACAGGTGGTGAATCTAGAACATGTGAAAGTTGTATCAATAACAATAGCCTCGAGCATTAGACTTCATAAAAGACCAAGTTTTTCAGACATTCCACTATTCGCCCTTTCCCCTCTCAGCACCCCCCGACTTTCTGTAGGGCAGATTGTTTTACTCTTTCTGAACACACATTTAGAGCTGCTGAATAACCACTCTCCTTACTGTCTTCTGCTCTGTGTATACTGCATGTGTACAGTAAAGCGGGGTGGCCACTACTCCAGTGCCTATTCTACAGCCAAATCCCCAGGTGAGCCATGACTATTGTGGCTTTGTTGCTCTGCTGGGTTTTTGTTTTTGTTTTTTGCCACTTTTCTGTTTCCTTTTGCTCCATTTCCATGAATGTATCTGGCTTATTCCAGTGCACATCTGTGTGGTATGAAATGTTTTGCATTGCACAAGACACTTTAGCCTCCTCTATTCATTAGAGAGCTGGTTATCATCAGAAGATTACCAAGTACCTGTCTGTATAGTCAGGAATACAAAGCGATTGAGGAGGCACATTGCTGCAAGGGGTCCATCTTCTAGTTAATTTGGAGAAATGTTCTGTTACTGAAAAAGGCTAAAGTTTGTTGGTACTATGAAAATAGCCATAGAAGAAATTTTGGTCTTCTATGCTCACCCCCTCCCCACCCTGGGGTTAACAGTTTAGGAATCACTGAAATCTTAGAAGTACGTCATAATAGCATATGCCAGCGTAGGATTATGAAGTGTTTCTTACATACACAGAGAGGCAACACTGCAATATTTCTAGTTGTCAAATATTTATTTTCTTAAGAGTTATAGACTCAGCCTTTTCTCTCTAAAAATGTGACAGTTAACAATATGTGTATTTTTATCTGAAAATACCTCTGTTATTAACCTTATTTCAAATTGTATCATGCTTTCTGTAAAGTATCTTAAAACTGAGAAAGCTTAATACAGAGATGAGACTTGCATAAATATACTGACCTGGGTTAATCAAAGGGTAGATGTAGTTTTGGTGATAGCTTTACAGATGCTTGTAACATCAGTAAAAATAATTAAATAGCTGGGCATGGAGGTACCACCTGTGGTCCCATCTTCTCGGAGGCTGAGGCAGGAGGATCCCTCGAGGCCAGGAGTTTGAGGCTGTAATGAGCTGTGATGATAGTGTCTTTGAATAGCCACTGCACTCTAGCCTTGGCAATGTAGCAAGGCCCTGTCTCTTTTAAAAAAATTTTAATAAAAAGGAGAGTGGTTCAAGAATCGGGTATGATTAATTCAATTTTGTCCCCCTAAGGTCCAAAGAGAAAAATTAGCATATTGAACTAAAAACATGTCTCATAGCCATATTTATCCTGCACACTAGTAGCTCCAGAAGATAGCCTAATAAATGTATACATAACTCTTACCTTGAATTTATAATACTTAGAAACTGATGAAGGAAAATCATAGCATTCTAGTACACACAATTTTCAATTAAGTCCAAATTTGGATTTGAGTTAATAGAGTAAGCCTCAAACTCATCAAGTAAAAGTTGTAAGATTTTAAAACCACATTTTAGAGAGAAAATGATCTTTTTTTATAAGAGATTAATTCAAAGTGTGTTCGACACTTCAGCTATAGAAAACCAAAAGCCTGAGTCAACCACTGGGATTTGAGTGAATCTGAAGAAAGCTACTATATTTATCTGCATAATGCTTATCTGTATAGTGCTATATAGTTCTTTCCACTTTCTACTACCATGAAGGACAGAATTTTGTCTTATTAAAAGCCATGGTACCCAGGAGTGTTTTTACAGATTACTTTAGCTATGGTGTGTCTGTTGCCATTTTTTAAATTCCATGGGACTAATGAAATTCAAACAGAGCTGGTAACTTTATGAACATAATACTGTACCTTTTCAGTCTTGGGACAGAGGTCCCAAGTGAAGTCTTGAGACTGCCTTGAGTGAAGTCTTCTTGTTGACTAAATCCTTCAACAAAACTCTATCAGTATAGCTAAATAGTATGTAAAAAGCACATAGATATTAAGCTAGGTAACATAAATGGGTAAATGGTTACTGTCGCCCAGGCTGGAGTGCAGTGGTGTGATCTTGGCTCACTGCACCTCTACCTCAGGGGTTCAAGCTATTCTCCTGCGTAGCTGGGACTATAGGCATGCGCCACCATGCCTGGCTAATTTTTGTATTTTTAGTAGAGATAAGGTTTCACCATGTTGGCCAGGCTGGTCTCTAACTCCTGATATCAAGTGATCCACCAGCCTCAGCCTCCCAAAGTGCTGGGATTATAGATGTGAGCCACTGTGCCTGGCCATTATTTTAGAATTTTAGCTTCTGAATCTTTCTTGGTCTGCCAAGATAAAAAGTATTCAAAGAAAACAAAACAAAACAAAACCCCCAAGTTTATTTCTTTCCTTAGAGTTGAGGGGAGGGGGATTAAATTTCAGGAATGAAAATCCAGGGGTGTAGCGGAAGAGTGGAAGCATGAGGCAGGTGCTGGCTGGTGGTGGCACATCTTCCGCTTGCGGCAGCAACGGAAGTTGCAGGGGGAGAGGGCATGACGTGGTGCTGTCCAGGGTCCCCATTAGCCTCTCCAGAACTGGAGAAATGTGCAAATAAGTGAAATTAAGAACAACTCATTCAAGCACATTGTTTAGAACCTTCCAAATGCTATAAAAACTTAGAGGACTATATATGATTAGTATCTCTCTAGGATGAGTTATTTTGGTGAAAATATAGACATGTAGTTATTGACATCAGTTAAATCCCTGGCAGTGAGTTTTGTTAAGAAACTAGGCCTGGGCAGGGGATGCATTTTAGGGAGACTGATCTACTACAGAGATCGCTATCTGCCGGAACTGCTTTTTCTCCTTCACTCCCTTTCCTACAATCATTCCAAGGTAGCCTTTGCTATCAGTGTGGGATTGGAATACCAGTGAACACTAACAGTGCGTACTGATTAGAAGCTGGTGACCTGTGCAGATTGCTGTGTGAGAGGGAGAAAATACCAGGAAAAAAAAAAAAAAAAAAGGGAAAAAAAGGAAAATTTAGTTTCAGCTCACGGCAAGCTTACTAGTTTATTGCCGGCCGTAATCTCTATTTTGTGTGAATTCCATTGAAAAAGATTTTTTTAAACACTATTTTTTAGCACAGTTTTAGGTTCACAACCAAAGTTACATATTTCCTGTGTACTTCCTTGCCTGCAGACTTGCGTAACTTCTTCTATTATCCACATCCCCAATTACAGTGCTGCATTTGTTACAGTTGATGGACCTGCATTGAAATCCCCTTAGCACCCAAGAGCCATAGTTTACATTGAGGTTCATTCTTGGTGTTGTATGTTTTCTGGGTTTGGACAAGTTTGTAATGACATATATTCGCCATTACAGTATCATACAGTTTCACTGCCCTAAAAACCCTTTGTGCTCTACCTTTTAAAGAAGTTTTTTAGAAGAAATAACATTAATTGAAATTTAACTTGATTGAGAAATAACCAGGGCTGTTGAATACTCTTAAATATTTTTAATTGTACAGTTAATTGTGTTACACTTGTATTCTAAGTACCCACATGTATTTGTTAATAAAATCTAGATCACTGACCGTTATTTTTGAATGAGGGTTTTGAGTCAGAAAAATTAAAGTTTTGGAAACTTAAAAATAACTGAAAGAAGTTCTCATTTTTACTGAAATTTTAAAATGAGCAGTACAATAAATATGACTTCATAAACCAAGATGTTCCTGTTTACAGGTGATTCTTGTAATCATTAGTACTCATTGATCCACAATTTCTGCCTCTGCTCAAGGACTGGTACTCATTTTTTTTGAGTCACCTATTCAGGACCTTTACCTGTGCATTTTTTTTTCATACTTATTAGCGTGATTTAAAATAATAGTTGTCGCTGTCTCATGTTTTTTTTTTTTTTTTTTTTTTAAATAAAAAGCAAGTGAGCATCTCTTTTCTTTCCAAAAAGATGAATGACACTTTTCATCTACTTTGGGCAAAAACTTTGAAGATTTATAATAAAATGGATTATAAATACTCAATTTAGAGGAGAAAAACATATATCAATACTAGATGTTAACTACTAGCTTTGTGAAATTACTGCAGAAATAGATTCTAATGATAACAATCAGGCATAAGCAAAAGTCATACTGAAATGTTTGACCAGAATTCTGTAGTATAGAATCTGCAAACGAACCTTTCCTGGGGGAGAGGTTTCAAAATTTTCAAAAACTGAACACTTTTTTCGGTTACTTTTTAAATTTCCAAATTTAATTTTCTGGGGGAAAGGTTCATTTACAGATTCTATACTACATAATTCTAGCATAGGATCTAAATCGAGCTTTCAGCCGAAGAAGTGTATGGAGGTTTAGAGCAGATGTATAGAAAACTACCAAGATTTGTGGACAAATGGGGGAGGATAAGCTGTGGAGAAAAGAATATGGAAGGAATTAGAAATAAGTGGTCTGGATAAAAAAGGTTGAAGAATGTTTTTCACAGACTTTGAGCAAATAAGTAGGAATTACAGGGAAAACTACCAGTAGATTTTCCCTTTTCATTAAGAAAATACTTAGAAAATGTGTTTGTATTATGGTGTAATTGATTTGGGAGAGCCACACAAACTTCTTGGTCATCCAAACTTCTTGGTTATGTTGGTATGCACCAAGATAGTGGCTATTGAACAGCCTTCATAGTAAACCATTACAAATATAACAGCCATCTCTACCTTTGCTGGCAGGCAGGATACATGGAAAAGTTCTCGTTCACATCACTAATTCCATAATGTCTTCTGTATTTGTTTATATAGCTGTTGGAAAACTACTATTGAAAATAGTTCTAGTTTCACTCTTTGATTTTTTTTTTTTTTTGTCTGTAATGCAGTAAGATACATTCTTTTTGCTTTTTGCTGATTTGCCGTCTGCTTTGAGCTGAAAATGAGTTGAAGCTTCATTGGACCTATATTGTGCATGCACCTAGTGTATTTATACAGTCTGGTTATTGTGGGTTTTAATGGGACTTCTGTCTTCTTTGTTGTCTCATGGGCAGTTAATGGAACTCCCAGCAGCCAACTTTCTACTCCTAAATCTACGAAATCCTCCAGTTCCTCTCCAACTAGTCCAGGAAGTTTCAGAGGATTAAAGGTATGAAATAGGATATGTGGCATATTTGTGTGATTTTGTTATTTTGAGTTTCATAGTTTAGCAGTTTAATTTGTTTAGGAGCTTGGGTACAGTAATAAATTAAAAAGAGTTTAGGATTTGGAACCTAGTAGATTTGACTTCGAATCCTGTGTACTGCTGTAATTTTGACCAACTCGCTTAACTCCTGTGAGCTGAAGTGTTTCTCATCTCTAAAATGGGAACATGGGGTTATAGTGTTCTTATTTTAGAGATGAACATAATGTGGTAAAGTATAATAAATAGTAGTTTTCCAATTATTATCAAAATGATTTGCAGCGGTAAAGCCTTGGAGAACATCATGATTCTTTAAAAAATCTTCTTTTGAGTCATGACTTTAATATTGCTAACATAATTTGAGTTTGTCAAAAGCCTAAAATGAAGTGAAATACTAGCATAATGTTTATACTCACAAGTGATAACACAGGGAAAATATGGTCATCTTTAGTGAGGAACTTAGAAACAATCTTAGCTATTGACTATGATGTCCTAAAAATATAAGCAGTAACAATATGATTAGCAGTTGGTTTAATAGACAGTTATCTAGTAGAGATGAGCAAAACCAATTGTGCAAAATTTCAACAAGTTTTATTTGATTTAGTAGTTCCTAATAATTTAAATTTAGAAGAGAAAATTTGGCTGGTAAAATAACAGTAAATAATTAGAGCTGAAGGTGGAATTTCTAACCAGACGTGATGGCTCACGCCTGTAATCCCAGCACTTCGGGAGGCTGAGGCAGGTGGATCATTTGAGGTCAGGAGTTCAAGATCAGCCTGGTCAACATGGTGAAACCCCAACTCTACTAAAAATACAAAAATTAGCCAGGCATGGTGGTACAAACCTGTAATCCCAGCTACTCGGCAGGCTGAGGTGGGAGAATCACTTGGATCCAGGAGGCGGAGGTTGCAGTGCGCTGAGATCGCGCCACTGCACTCCAGCCTGGGTGACAAAGTGAGACTGTGTGCCTCAAAAAAAAAAAAAAAAAAAAGAATTTCCTTTGTAGAAACAAAGGGTTGTCTACATGGTAATGAATTCTGAGAATACTGATGTATACGCAGTGTCATGTATGTGTATACATAAATTAACTTTAATTCCCTTTATGTGTTTCTATATGAGATGTATTATTAGGAATGTGTTTTCCAAAGTTGGTTCCCGAAACACTTCAAATATAGTCCTAGAGGATTTCTTTAAAGCTGTAGAAGAGTATTTTTTTATTAGTAAACTTAATGGTTAGAACCCCACCACCCTTGTGTGAGTGAGGAATGGGAACCTGCCAAGCCCAGCCTCTCTGACACCTTCAGAGCAGCGTGTGAGGTCTGTGCTTCCCCACTCCTCAGAACGTTTTGTTCTCCAGTTGACTGTAAGGTTTGCTTGTCTTGCCCTGAGAATGTTGTGTGTCCCTCAGAGTGGACTTGTATAATGTTTAAGTACCTGAGAATCAAAAGAGGAATTCTGGAAAAGGACAGAGCATCTGTTTCTGTGCCTGCTTGCTTATCCTTGGCAGAATTTGGGCTGAGACTGGTAGGACGTTTGGAAGTAGGGAGTATCTAGCTCTCACCTACCTGTAATCACTGAAAGTTCTTTATATTTATCGAAAGAAGCAGGCATTTTTCTGAAGTGCTGACTTAAGTCAGTTCATAATGTGATTTCAGTGGACTTTTAACTTGTCAATTCCCAGAAAAGTTATATAAATTAAAAATTACTAGTAAGCTAATTATTTTCAGATTTTTCTCCTATTTTCCCTGGAACAGATTGGAAGTACGTTGTTATTAATAGAGGTAACTTTCAAGAGAACTAAAATAAAAATAAGTCTATTTAGCTCTTTTCAGGTTTATTGTTTCATCATTTGTTAAAGCAAAAGCAAGTGGCTCCTAGAGCTGGTTAATTGTTCTAGGGCAGATCTAGGATAACCTTTCCAGTGAGCCACATGCCAAGGTCATTCATATTTCTCTCCCAGGCCATTGCCCCAGGCAGGGCTGAGATCCTTGACCTAGGGCCGCTTTGGGGGATCAGATGGGACACTTTAGTGCCTGCTTACTCTGGGTCTTGGTCACTTCCCCATTTTTTGTTACCCATTGGTAACCCCAGCTCCCATCTTCCTAGTCCATCTTCAACTCTTAACCCAATATTGTCATTTTCTGTTTTTGCCACTAGGCTAGTTGGTGCTGCTTATTAGTAATTACAACTATAGCTTCAGGACAGGACAGCTAACCATTTCAAGGAAATACATGTTAATATTCTGTGCACACACCTACTTCACAGATGCACGCATACTTGTGCAGGATCACTCACATTTGTGAAGATTAATGGAATTTTTAAGACATAATAAATTGTGTTATTGCTGAGACATTAAGTAAAATTGTTCCTTCTATGCTAGGTGTATTGTAATTATTATAGTAACCCCAGCATTTAGCACACAGTAAATGCTCAAGGATTACTTATTCACACCAAGAGGAATGAAGACTAATTTGTTCATTAAGGGAAATGTTGATTACTGGTCATGATTGAAGATAAGATTATAAGTAAGATAAAGAACAGTCATCTTTCCAGAACCACCCCCTGTTCTCCACCACTGTGCCTGAGGCCTGTGGGCTTTGCTAACAGCTGTGATACCTCCTCTGGGTTTTCTTTTTCTTATTTGTGAAACAAGGACTTTTGATTTTAAATGAGCTCTAAAATGCTAGGAATATAGTTCTGTTAACTTGCGGAAAAACCTAACTAAAAGGCTAGGAAGTGTATTTTTTGCCCTTTTACTTCAATGCTGATGTAAAACCACCGAATTTTACATTAAACAGGAGTAACTAATGTCTCTGCCACACTGATTCAGCTTTTAGGCCACAATCCCAAAGCTCTCTAACTACTGCCTATTCTCATGGGTCCTGCCTTATGGAAATTTCATCTCATTACAGTTCCCATAATCTGTGGTATATATTGTCATTGGGATGAAAACCTGCTTTTTAAATAATGCAATTTAGTCAGGTTACTTTACTGTACCAAATACCCTAATTTTGATGTCATTGCAAGGCACCAACTTATTTTTTTCTATTCAATGGCATGACAGATGAGGAATTACAGATAATTACCGTGTGTTAGCACTATGCGTTTCCCTTCCCTTCATTTAAAATCGCTTATTAAGATCAGTTAAGAGGGAATGTCTGAGAATGGAGGATTGTTTTTCATGGGCAGGAACTCGTTACCACTATTTATCCTAGTTAGATGCTGTAATGGCCTTGGGGGATAGATAATCTTTTTCCAGAGAATCAGAGAATTGATAAAAGCAAGCAGACCAAGCCAGGACAGCATGTGCAGGAGCTGACAGTCTCTCCAGCTGCCAGGACACAGCTTTTGGCATTGCTGGTTTTTTTACTACCTGGATTTTATTCACTGGGGAACTAAATAAGGTTAAGGGTAAGCAGAATTTGATGTTCTGTCACAGTGTTTCCCTCTTTGTATCCATGTCTGGGAATTATTTTAATATTTTGGTGGGGGCATTGAAAGAACTGAAAATGAAAATAGGATGATATGTTTAATCTCTGATCATGGATTGTTAGTGGCCCTTTGGTTTGCTCATTAAGAAAGATATAAAAAATAGACAATCTACCTTGCTCGCCACAAAAAGTACTCGTAGTTTTCTTAGTACTCTTATGAGGAAGATGATTCTGCTAAGACTGTGTTCTTTGAGGGGCTGGACAAAAGCCAGTAGCAGAAGCAAAGCTTTCTTCAACTTGTGAATAATTTTTTTTGCAGATGATCATGTAAGAAATAGGGTGGCGACCAAGTAATTAAGGTTCTTTAAACCTAAAACTGAAAGACATTAGGACAACTGAGAGTTAGTGGTATCTTGATTATATATTTGTTTTGTTCAAGTAGTGTTAAAGAAAAAAACACTAATTATTCCAGATACTTGTTAAAGACTATAAGGGAGACTTTATTCAAAGAGTGGGGGTGGTCCCTGGCACGTGGTATAGAGACCACTGTAGTAGAGCCTTGCAGGGAGGAAAAGAGGAAATCCAGCTCCAGCAAGGAAAAGTGGGGATTTATAATGAAGGAGCAGGGTAGGAATCAGCAGAGGGAAGAGTATTAGAGGAACCATCCAGCCTAAGAGGCTTCCGGCTCGACTGACTTGATAGGCTTATTGCTGAAGGCAGGCTGGGCTGATCTGACATCAGAGTCAGACAGCAAGTACAGGGGATTTTCCCTAAACTGACTTAACAGGAATCTTGCTCAGACCTCAGCCTGGATTCTGCAGGGACAGGGAGGGATCCCCAGGGTTGGGCCTAGTCAAGCAGAGGACTCGGAGGAACCTGACTAAAGTTTTGGTCATAAAAGAGTTTTTGTCAGTAGTTACCTAAAACCATAGAGTGTAAAAACTGGAAGTAGTTTCAAACCTTGTTTAGTTGTCAAGATAGAGAAACTGACTTTTTTTTAATTTTTGGTTTGTGTTTTTTGTTTGTTTGGTTTTTGAGTCGCCCAGGCTGGAGTGCAGTGGTGCGATCTTGGCTCACTGCAACCTCCGCCTTCCGGGTTCAAGTGATTCTCTTGTCTCAGCCTCCTGAGTAACACATTTGCTCCACATGAGAAAGGGTTGAGAGATTGGGAGGGGAATAGGGAGGGGGGAGGTGTGGGAAAAAGAGGGAGGAAATCTTGGGGTTAGGGAGGAGGCTGGGTGAATGGGGTGGAAAGACAGAGAAAAATACCTGGTGGCAACTTTTCCTGAGAGGCTTGGGGGAAAAGCATGCTAATAGGTATCTAATGGGAGTTTCTTGAAAGTAAAACTGTCTATACTGTGCCCATTATTTTCACCTAACCCCATAAAGCTTTAGTAAAATCACAGAGTTCACAATAACTTAGGGTTTTTGGTTTTCTTTGGAAGACAGTACTCAGTGGAGCTGAGTATTGTCAAGATTGGTATAGATTGGAATTAGCATAGTCCAGGTTCAGCAGATACATGGGTTACAGGGATG